ATCGGACAGCTGGATCCTACCCCGAATGCGCAGAAGCCCATCATCGCCCATGAAAAGCGTCAAATCGCGGACAGGTGAGCTCTTGGGCAGTGGCCTGCCCCTCTCCACAGCACTCACCTCCTCTGGGAACGCAGCCTGTTGCGCGTCCCTCACCAGAGCTGTCCTGGCCTCCGCAATCTCATCACCAGACAGCTCAGACTGTCGCCTCAGACCAGGGTTGCGGCAGTTGAACACAAACCGCTTGACCCACGCCACGACGCGAGTCGCCTTACGAAGCGATCCCCACCGCTCCACCTCAAACAGAGCTGTGGGGTTGCCAGATCTCGACAGCAGTGCCATCTCTTCCCTCGGAAGACTCGCCTCCGGTGAAGCGCTGTCGTCACCGTCTGCAGACGGCGGTCGACCTGCCGAAGAGGACAGCCACTCGGGCCCAGCCAGCCACAGGTCAGAACCGATTAGGCTGCTCGCCGACACGCCACGGGTCAACAAGTCTGCCGGGTTCTCCTCTCCCGCCACGTGAGCCCAGCTCGAAGGGCTGGTCAACCGCTGGATCTCTGTTACCCGGTTAGAAACATACTGCTTCCACCTGCTGGGATCCCCGCGGATCCATCCCAAGGCAACCATGGAGTCAGTCCAGCAGCGGAGAACCACACTCTCCGGCAGTCTCAGAGCCCGTCGCACAAACACGAGCAGACGCGCAGCCATCAAGCTAGCCAAGAGCTCCAGCCGCGGCAGACTCAGCTCCTTTAGAGGAGCCACACGCCCCTTAGCCATCACGAGAGAAGCGGCGTATGATCCATCCTCACGAGCGGCACGCAGGTATACTGCGGCACCATAGCCCTTCGGAGACGCATCGCCAAATGCATGCAACTCAACACCTTCTCCATCATTCCAAGGCCTCTCTGTGAAACAGCGCGGGACCTCAAACTCCTTCAACTCGGTCAGACCCTTCACCCACTGCGAAAAGGTCAGGCTGAGGTCATCTGGCAGTACGGCATCCCACTCCAGACCCAGCTGCCAGATGTCCTGAAAGAGCAGCTTCGCCATCATTGTAAATGGCGCGACAAAGCCGAGCGGGTCGTACAGCCTCGCAATGAAGCTGAGCACGGCTCTCTTAGTGGGAACGACATCTGCTGGCAAACAGACGCCGTCAAAACAGAATGCGTCACGACCCGGAATCCAGCGGACCCCAAGCACCTTCACGGGCCCGCACTCAGCCGACGACACGCCATGCACCATATCAAACACTGCTGTACTGTTGGACGAGCACTTCGTCAGCGTCATTCCAGCATCTGCCATTACAGTCTGTGCCTCCTTCAGCTTAGAGCAGGCGTCACTCTCAGTGTCAGCACCAGACAGGTAATCGTCAACATAGAAATTCTCCGACAGATCCGAAATCAGAGGCGAGGACGGGTACTGTGTCAGGTGGTGGCGGATAGTGGCCGCCAGGAGGAAACTCGAACTCCTCACACCGAAAGTGACACGCATGAACCTCATCACCCGTACCCTTCCGTTACGCCACCACAAGAATCGGTGCACGTCCCGGTCCTCCTTACGCAGCTGAACCTGCAGAAAAGCCTTTGAGATATCCGCTGCAATGGCGAACGGCCAGCGCCTAAAGCGCAGAAGTATCTCCAGCAGGCTCGGAACCAAGCACGGACCCACCTCCAAGCAGTCGTTGAGTGAGACGCCGCCAGGGCCCACTGCCGACGCGTCGAATACCGGCCGCACCTTAGTAGTGGAGCTGTCCTCCTTCAAGACAGGCCGGTGCGGCAGGTAGAACACCGGGTACGAGGTCTGCAGCTCACAGCCAGGAACCTCCTCAATAACCCCGGCATCCTCCATCTCCTGTAAAGCAGCATCATAGCGCTCTGCAAGTACAGGGTCCTTAGCCAGCTTTCGTCTCAATCCTGCCAAACGACCAGCCGCCATGTCACGGTTGTCACCCAGAGGAGCACTCCCCTCCTTCCAAGGAAGGTTGACTTCGTAACGCCCATCTCTCTTACAGACTGTAGCATTGAAATGAGCAAGAACAGGATCTGACTCATCATCATCATGTGAAACACCTATGGCTTCCAAATCCCACAGGTTGCGGAAGGCATCATCTGAGACATCGTTAAGCAAGAGGAGCTGACAGGTGGACAAGGTTGGCCTGCTAGCTACAGAGCCAGAGACTGTCCAACCAAATACCGTCTCTTGGGCGACCAAACCTGCAGAAGTACGGAGCAGGCCGTCCTTCAGCAGCTGCCAGTACTGGTCCAGCCCAACCAGCAGGTCCACAGACAGGTGTCGATCAGAACTGAATCTCCCGTCCGCCAGCTCCAAACCACCCAAGGAGCGAACCACCTCCTGTGGCACCTGCGGACGTTGCAAAGGGGAACAAATCACAGGAACCTCCATGGCCCTCAAACAGACTGCACCCGGCCTGGCCATATTGGCTCCTGACACCTCCATTTCATACAACTGACGCTCAGCGATAGCAGACTTGCCCCCACCAAAGGCACAGTAAGTGTTCCTTTCTGCTCTTATCCAAGTTGCACCAACTCTTTTCACCAGTGACTGGCTGACATAGCTGCGATCACTCCCAGTGTCAAACATCAAAGTAGCTTCAACTACCCCCTTACTACCCTTCACATACACACGAGCAGTAGGCAGTACGCTACATTGAACTGGGGGTACACATGACAATGAAGCAGTGGCAGCAGGCCTACTGCCTGAACCCACATGAGCACTATCACTTGAAACAGCATCAGAAGCTTTCACACCCTTGTGAGTAAAGTCAAAGACATGTTTGTAGCAACAGAGCACATTGTGTCTACCCTTGCAGTGAGCACACTTCTCTAGACAGTGTCTGGCTCGATGTCCCCCCTTTAGGCAGACAAAACACAAGTTAGCTCCTCTCACCTTGTCTTGTCGCTCGCTTACACTTAAGCTGAGGAAGTCAGGACACTCAGTAGCTCTGTGTGGCCCTGAGCAGAACTCACACCCAGCACCAGCACCAGGGGAAGCAGCCTGCAGAGCTGCCCCAGACCGAGGCTGCTGAAGCCTCTTCCTCCGACCGCTGTCCCGGTCCACTGGCCGGGTCTTCACTCCTGAAGCTGTAGTCGGTTTCTCACCAGCTGCAGACAGGCCGCTGTAAACCCCAGACTTCACCCTGGAGTTCACCTCAGCCTTAAGCACCTCCAGCAGGAACACCAGATCACCTTCCTTGCCAACACTGTCACGCGCCCAAGCCAGGCAAATGTCCTTGGGAAGCCGGCTCAGCAACAGTGGAGTTAAGATAACCCCATAGTTGTCTCCTTTCACTCCAAGTGACTCAAGGCTCCGCACATGCACTTGAAGCTCATCTTGCAACTTTTGGAGACTGCTCACATCCTCAGTTGCTCTGTCCATGTTCAGCAGACCTTGCACATGTTTAAAGATGATCAAATCCGTCCTGCCATACCTGTCCTGTAGCAGCTTGCTGGCAGTAGCAAAGTTGGCACCAGTCAGCGGGAGCCCAGCAATGCACTGAGCAGCCTCACCCCGCAGAAGGGACCGAAGATAGGCCAGTTTAGTAATGTCCGCTAACTCCTCCTTATCACCAACTGCTGCTTGAAAACACTCCCAGAAGTTCAACCACTTCAGGACGTCCCCATCAAAACTGGGTAGGTCTAACTTCGGGAGTCTCGGCAGACCAGAGGTTCCAGCATTGGAGGCCCCACCAGAGTGAGCAGGCAGGTTCGGATCAATATCACGAAGGAGAAGCTTACCAGCAGTGCGTAGCACCTTGCTGATACCGCTGCGAAAGTCAGCAGCCTCTTCCACAACTTCTGGCAGCTCCGACTCATCAAACTCAATTTCCAGCGCAGCTTGAGACGAATCTAGCGCACTCAACCTCTGCTCGACCTCGGCTTTCAGCTCTTGGATTTCATAGCAATCCGGCTCTGGAGCGCTACACGCCAGCTGGAGGGCCCTGCACGATCGCGTGGCCCAGCCCCTAGCCGCGGCGCGCGCTCTCTTCAATCTCTCCACGTCCATGTCGTCACCAAACCGACCGGCGTGGTATAAATAGACGAAACCAGCGCAGTACTATCTTGCTTCTGGGCACCAAACATCCAGAAGTACTCGATCAAAGATCACTGGTTCTACGTCCCGGGTTTCGGCACCAAATGTTCAGGAAACCAAACTTCTGAACTCAACATCAACTCTATTCGCCACTGAGCAAAAAGCGAACATCGGGCGCGCAGCTAACCGCCCATCACACGCAACAACAATGCCACGACAGCAAAAAAAGAGAAGCAAGAGATGGAAAAAACGGTCAATCACAAAACAAGCAAATCACAAATTCCACCTCAGAAAACACTACCCTTAAAGCAATAAATCAATAAAAAAACACCAATTGATTTTAGAACATTAAACAAGGCAAAAAATAACCACGAAATACAGATGGGGCAAAGGCACGCGTTTGCCGCGACATCTATATCGGCCGCGGACCATAACCCGCGCCGTCTGGCGGCACATCGTTTTCTTCAACAATCCCTACGCATCAGCAGTGAGGCATTGTCTCTTCAAAAGGGCTCACAAAAAGCCATCTGGCACACCTGCCAGAACAGTCTGCCAAACGCGACCAAACGCCATAGCGTCCCATCAGTGGGGGACACAGCGCTCCGAAAACTACGCACGTGTAAACATCACAGAGCAGCCGCCCTTTGAAGTCAAACACGTGACTTTGAAGGCGCTGCGCCTCTGAGACGGCCTTGTTTGCAACATTCAGGTCATTTAGACGGATACAGAGACGAGGACATTTGGGCTCAGGAACTGTCGATTCGATGTATGTAGGTACATCATTTCAATATAGGAAGTTTTGGCGTAACTCGCCGACGTCTGGAATTTGGCGTGTCGTTTATTTCCCGAGGTGGCGGACCGACTGAGGTTACGATCGAGTTTAGGCCTTCTCCAAACACACCGACCAATAAATTGACCTCAAACAACTCATTAGCGATCAGGCCAAATAAACGATGTGGTACTGTGATGGGATTGTAGGAATCGAAATGTGATGTTCGTGCAGCGCAGATCTCTGCCTCTGTCTGTCTGTCTGTTTTCTTTTTGCTCTCTCTCTCTCTCTCTCTCTCTCTCTCTCTCTCTCTCTCTCTCTCTCTCTCTCTCTCTCTCTCTCTCTCTCTCTCTCTCTCTCTCTCTCTCTCTCTCTCTCTCTCTCTCTCTCTCTCTCTCTCTCTCTCTCTCTCTCTCTCTCTCTCTCTCTCTCTCTCTCTCTTTCTCTCTCTCTCTCTCTCTCTCTCTTTCTCTCTCTCTCTCTCTCTCTCTCTCTCTCTCTCTCTCTCTCTCTCTCTCTCTCTCTCTCTCTCTCTCTCTCTCTCTCTCTCTCTCTCTCTCTCTCTCTCTCTCTCTCTCTCTTGTTTTGTTTATTTTTCGCTATCAAATAAACAAATGCTTCCTTCTTTACCCGTTGCGTTAGCTGGTTTGACCCATACCACAACCCACCTTCCTCACAAAGCCACATTTTCCTTACATGTTCGCCCAACTTTGGCAGGTTTTCGCCAAGACGTTCAAGTGATACACCGTTGTACTGAGGAGCGTTGTGTTTACTCATTCCTCTATCTTTGGCAGGTTTTCGCCAAGATGTTCAAATGAATACACACGGTGCATACCGCTGTACGGAGGAGCGTAACGTGTTTACTCATTCGCCCAACTTTGGCAGGTTTTCGCCAAGACATTCAAGTGGATTTACACGGTGATATACCGTTGTACTGAGGAGCGGGAGCGGCGGGCGAGACTTGCCAAGATGGAAATCGACGTAGAGGCGCTGGGCGCCGAGGCCTTTCAGGAGCAGCAAATTCAGGTGGGCGTCGACTGCTTGGAAAATATCATTAATAATTAGTAAATTTGATTGTTATCTAACTGACGAAGTGGTCTTATTAGTCGCAAGGAGAACGAGTAGTATGACGACCGTGTGACTACACAACGGTGAACACTATAGTTAGACTGCTGCTTCGCTTGCGTTTCATTAACATTGTTCGCCCTGCAATGCATGCATCGTACAAAAGCACCGGTAATAAATGGGTAGGTAGCATTTACCATGAATGGCTAAAGTGCAGCATCATTCTCTCTTGGCAAAATTATTCCCTGAACATCAAACCGTGACCTAGCCCTGTTCGTTCGCAGGTGATCGTGCCGACGACAGCCTGCATCTACGTGCTGATTGGTTACCTGATCGGCGGCACCATAATGTTCGCCGAGTGGGAGAACTGGGGCTACCTGGACTCCTGTTACTTCTCCTTCACATCCATCCTCAAAATCGGCTTCGGAGACTTCTTTCCAGGTAGGTTTGGGGAAGTTTTCACGGAGACACGTGGCGCGAGCAAAGTAAAAGCTATTGATCGATCGACAATACATGGATGTGAGGTAGAGACGTTCGAATGCCAGGCGCGCCTGGCTCTTCGGAAAATATGCAGTAAAATGGTTCACAACAACATGAAAGTAAACGGTTTGCTGGTGAATCTACCATCAATCAGATTTTCCATTGCATTTATCGGCAAGCATGTTCATACCGAACCCCCCCCCCCCCAAAAAAAAAGATATACTGACGCTACCCCGTCATCTCCCGGCCACGCCTCCCATTGTGCACTGCCCTTTTCTGCTGCCATCCCTCTCACTACCTATCCCCGCTCTTCCAGGCGCCAACAACAGTAAGGCGGCGGAGGGCAACCAGCTGAAGCTGGTCATCAACTTCATGTACCTTCTGGTCGGCATGGGACTGCTGGCCATGTGCTACTACCTCATGAAGGAGGAGGTCGTGCTCAAGGTCAGTTCAGTGCTCTTCTGAGGTGACGAGAGCGTCGGTAATTTGGGAAATGGCCCAACGAACTACTCAATCGATTCTGGGTGGGAAAATAGTTCAAATGTCTAAAATTGTCACCATCGAAAAATCGAAATGTGTAGAAGGACAGTCCTATTCAAATGTCTAAAAATAGCGTCATCCAAAAAGCAAAACGTGCATTAGCTGAGCCGTTCCTAGTCTAAGCTTTCACTTGGTCATTCAAACGTTGTTTTGTTGTGATACAAACTTCCCAACGTCGTCTTTTTTTGCTAAAGAACGTATGATTCTTAGGAACAGGAATGCAGATTTGTTTGCAAAAAAATATGCGGAAAATATCCATGATTTGTTTCAAACGTTTGTCTTCATTTCAATCTTTTCAGGTGCGCGAGATAAAGAAATCCGCCCTGAAGAAAATGTGGAACTGCTGCGGAAGAATTTGGGGCCGGGAGGAGAACAAGAACTTCAAAAACTTCCACAACGCTGACGTCGCGTCCATGCACTCACGAGGGAGGAAATCAGTGCGACGCAGATAGCCTGTGGTCGTGAGTCGTGAGGTCACGAGTGGTGGCACGTAAGGTCAGAGTGAAGGTCATCTGAGGTCGGCCGAAATTACCTCAGGTCACAAAATCCAGTGGACAGAAGAGAAACATGCCGCATGGCAACTGGAGCGCTATCTTCGCCGTAAAGTTCACGATTGTGGACGGCAATGCCAGCGCCGAAAAATTGAAAATGGACAGCGATATGAACAAAGGACAGGGCCCCAGGAGGCTAAGACCAAAATGTACCTTCTTTTGTGAAAGTGAGTGCAGCGTTTGCGAACCACCGATGAAATACTGAACGATCGTCCGGTGTTTGGTGGAAACGAATGTCTTTGAACGTGACACTCGAACTTAGTGAATCAGAGTGAATGCATCCATCCACCGAACGTTAATGACTGAGACTCATTTCCACGCCTGGATTTGTCTCATTGCTCTTTGCACAATGTTTTCAATGAAGTGGTTTAACCGTTTAAGTGTAGACATTAGACACTAACGCTTGGACCACGCAAGTGTCCTTTATGCCTATAATAACGTGCAAACCTTTACTTGTTGTGGATAAGTGAGCATGTTTTATTGCATTTTGAGACGAACTTTGTATGAAATGTTCGACTTGGCATGCCCTGAAGTAGATTGGTTAATCATGGTGCAATATTTGACGTGCGTGATTAAATCCGTTCGAAGTTTCGGCCGGTGATGGAGCTGATGTTCCTGACGATTTCGAAGAATTTCCGTAAAATGTATGCCTCGATGTGTTCATCGTTCTTCAGTTTTGTTACCGATCAAGGAATAAGAACGAATGGCTCACAGATCGTAACCGTTTGACAGGTCTCTGAGCGTTGTATGTATGCATGTATGTAGGTATGTTTGTGAATGAAAAGTCATTACCTGTGTTTATACATACAACATGCCCTGTTAAAACATTATTCTGGTCACTTACGAGTTATATTTGAGAGACTGGTTATTGGCGCACCAAGAAGCGTGCTACATTCGGCAACTGAAAATCATATAATCGCTTGCCTTTTTGGTACTTATTTTCGTGATATTTATGAGACATTTGTTCCGAAATCGGATCAATGACCCAGCTAGTCATTAAAAGTTATAGGACGTACTTGACGGGTATATAATATACATATATCTATTTTGCAGTCGGCCCTTCACCAACACAGTAACCCGACATCGTTTCCACAAAACCTCCAGAAAACGTAAACGATCAAAGTCACAAACTGCTAAGTTCGGCGACAGCCATAGATCCAAAACAATCCAGAGGCCAATCTAACCAACAGAAAAATAGCCGCCTACCGGAATTTTTTGACTAAAGACCACTTCACTTCACATACGGAGCGTATAAAACCCTATCCGCTTACGTGCCCATCGCGTCTACGCTCTGTATGTGAAGCGATCTTTAGGCCAAAAATTCCGGCAGGCGGCTATATATCTTTCTGTTGGTGACACTAGCCTCTGATCAGAGGGCCTATCGGTTACCCACGCCTCTGAGATACTTCTCCCTGTCACCGGGCCAAATTCTCCGAGTGTTACCAACGAAACACATGGACGCTCCGAGTGCCATCGATTCTGTGACGAAACAGAGCTCTCACGACACACATCTCCCGTTCGAGTCTCGTACCCCGCAGTGACCTTGATGGGTCGATTTCTCGGTCGACCCGACCCGACTGTGTTAGGAGAGTGAGAGGCGCAGCTGAGAACCCTCGGGTGTTCCCTGGCTCGCGCCGAGACAGGCGCCCATAAAAAGCGAGCGACGCAGGCCAGCCGACAGATACGACAGGTTGGTCCTCGTCTCAACACCACCTTCCGTCGTTCGACGTTAGTTCGACATCAGTTCTACGCCATCCTCGGCAAGATGAGGCTCTCTGTGACGCTGGCTCTGCTCACCGTCGGTCTGACGACCCTCTCCGACGCCACCTTCATCATCGAGACCGCCGCCGCCGGCACGGCCTCTACCGTCGGTGTCGGAACCGCCGCCGGCGCCGCCGCCCTCGCCGGTATCGGCGGGCTGGTGCTCGGCGCCGGTATCGTCGGAGCGATCGCTCTCTCCCGCCGCGGTAAGCGGTCGGTGGAGAACGCGCTGAAGGAGGACGCCATCTTCAACCTGGTGGCCTCGTCGGACGCCTACGGCTGCGCGATGAAGCTGGTGTGCATGCTGGAGGCCAAGGATGATGAGTCTCTCTCCGACGACGACAAGTTCATCCTGACCATCTTCGGGCGCGCGCCCGAGGCTCCCAGCATTGACAAGATGAAGTCTGCGCGTGGTGCGTACGACTACGCTGCCTTCATGGGCCACAAGTTCGGCGTGGATGCCTGCGAGGAGCTCTTCCACACTTGTGAGGCCACCTACGAGACCATGATTGCCTATGTTGCCAAGCTGCGTGCGTAAGAAGCGGGTAAGATCGGGGAGATTGACGGCTGGAAAACTGCTACAAGGAGTGTTTAGAAACGGAATTTGAATTGTTCTGATTCGCTTCTGTTCTTGCTGGTGTTCGTTCCGTTTACAAAGTTGAAACAAGGCGAGCAATCGAACATTGTTGAAGCGAGTTGATTTTTTAGATTCAGAAGTGACGTGATTATTGTACAGTGTTGTTGATGTGAAGATGTCGAAACCCTAGTCCATCGGTGATGACAATAAATGTTATCCGATATTGGTGCGAATGCCTGCATTCCCTCAATCATTGACGTGATCAATACGAACTTTACAATAACTTTTTTGTTGTAGAAGCTTAATGGCATGGCGGTTGGAGTGAAATGCTTCACAGATACAAAAGGGAGCAAATAATAATTTCCTTCTGAAATCAGGATAACAAAAAGTCAAAGTGAAACAAACGTCACATCAAGCCCGATGTTTTCTCCACTTCCATTTTTCGCATGCATTGCCTTGCATTCGAGGCATTGTTTCTTCTTCGACCAAACATCTTCACCGTATTTGATTCTCCCACACAGGTCACGGGCTTCCAGCAACCCCTCAACCCTTCCCTCTCCCCGTGACCTCATTGTGCTCCCCCCCCAAGCTAAACTGACGGGTCCGTTGTCAGTCATCGCCTACCATTTGCCCGATTATCGAGTCGCTTCTGACCCGATTAACGCGTTACAACTGACAGCAGACCGCCCGAGGCTAGTAGAACGGGACAGCGGCGAATGGCAGCGGCGAGAGATCGCCGCTGCCATGGCCCGGGTCTGACAGAGAGGGATGGTGGCGATGGTATGCGCGATTGGGACATTACTCAAGAAGCAGAGAAGCAGCAAGATGGTGTCAGTCGATGGCCTAAAGACACAAGCACCGAACTTGGCGATATGTTCTTTTAGTAGATCGTAAAAATTGTCGAAAGTGAAAGTGGAATATAAGATCGGCAGACAATAACTGCTGTCGATTAGCTTCACGGTCGATCTCGCAGGAGAAGCGTTATCTCATGATCTAATTTTGTGTGAAAATTCATGCCATTCCACTACACATTGGCGGCCTAGATAAGAAACGTTCTGAAAGTCGGTCAAAGATGGTTGCTTTTGTATTACAACCATTTCACAAAATAGCATCATCGGGGGTGCGTCGTGGCCTCCACACAGCCCTGGCGCGCGACCCTTGGAGGTCACCCCGGATGGAAACAGCTGGCGACCCACCCAGCGACCTAGCGACCCCAGGTCACCACATCTCACTACACTTCGCCAGATCATAGTCCAACAACACCGCAACAGCAAACATCCAATCACAAAGGCTTCTCACGCGTGGCGACCAATCACCGACCGATGGGCCGCGCCAACAGCCAATCAGAGAGCGCCGCGGAAACTGTCAGCCAATCAGGCGACAGCGATGACCCGAGCGACCAATCAGCGCCAGTTTGGTGCTCATATCCGCCAATCGCAGCTCTGCCCGATAAAATACATTACCCTCTGCGCCGATAACGCAGACAATGCTGTTATAACCCCATGAACGGGCCATTATGCCAACACGCAGCAAGTCACCCGGCACATCATGAGCTCAAAATAAGTAGTCCCACACCAACAAAGCAAACAAACACATGCACACAACATTTCATTGGGAATCGTGCGACATGAATGCAGTGTGACGATATAGGTGTACATATTTCTCGATAGTTCATCTCCGCGCAGCTTTGGCGACGTAATTACCGCGATATTCTAGCGATATTAAGTTTATTTCATGGGGATAGCCTGGTTGGGCAGCATTCACTCCTCGGCTGTGTTGGAGTTACTGCCCTAGCCAGCCAGTATAGTTGGGAAATCGCATTGCACAACACTCTGAAACACACTGACATAATATAGGCAAACAACGCACCCGAACATACTGAAATGTTCGGGTCAGACCATACAGCTTGACGGGGAACGAAAGTCGATTGACGGGGATCAATTAGAACGAACCAATCAGAACAAACTAATTAGAACGGACTAATTAGAACGAACCAATCTCGGACGAACGCTCCCCGGTTCCTATACGAGTCCTAAAACGGACTAACATTCTTCGACCAGGCTCGGTTGGTAAGTGAGCGACAATTAGGCGGTGGCTAGCCTAGCATTGTCGCGAGGGAAAGGAACCACTTCCCTGCCAGTAAGTAACAGGCAGATATCGTTAGAAAAAGGTGATCGAAAGTTCTGATCCCAACTGGACGTGAGAGTTGTGTTACACCAGGTCTTCCCGGCAGAGTCGATTAGAATCGAGAGATGTGAAACGGGGATCTAGCCAGGATTAACAAAGGATGATATCATGATCAAACCACGATTAAACTAATACCGGAGCGGGATCCAACCTGGATCAAAGCAGAAGTTAATCAAGAACTAGCAAATATCAAGGCAAGAACAAACCATAACCAAATCGGAATCCAACCAAAATCAAAGCATAAAACATTAATAAAAACATAAAAATGATCCAATCACAACAAAACAAATCAGCACAAGCCACGTCCAACAAGATAGGGATCGGGAGCGATAGCGAGAGAACAAGACAACGAACTTGAATTTGCGGAGCCCCAGCACCAAATAAGTATGATTAGACTTGAACAGAGTTAGCAGACCGTATCTGACCCAACAAGATACCATATTAATGGAACAAACACGCAGACAGATCAAATATAGGAGCTCAAACCATACCAGCCCAGACCGCTTATTCGGAGTCCGGGACAGTCTAGGAGACCCAGGGAACAGACCTAAACCCACCGCAACACACTTGCGACCGCATCTACCCAGGTATTCCCGCTTTTCTCACGCGACCAGTGCTGCCACCGCGCGAGAGGGAACCACAACATTCCCTTCACGGGCAGAACAGTGCCAGTATTCTCGAAAACACCCTGGAACACCCATCATCACAGACAACCAATCGCAGAAGATTGCAGACAGCCGCGAAACGATTCATACACCGCCCGAGCGAAGGCTCCCCAGTGCAGAACACGCTTTAACTGATATATTGCAGACAGCAGGCTCCGTCAGCCCGCCGGAATCTTCTGGACGAAAGCGCTGCGCCGAGCAGAGCACGAGCGGTGACGTCACACCACACGGAGGTGACGTCACACACGGCAGGCGGCGACTCACCAATGACAGCGCGCTCCCCGACGGCCGGCCAATGGGAGGCGGGGGCGCTACGTCGTCCAGCCAATCACAGCCGCGGCCGGGGTGTCACGGCCAATAGGAGGGCGTGTTTCAAACGGGCGACCAATGAGAGGAGGCGTCTCACCTGCGGCCCATGGCGCGGAGGACTTTGGCCATCAGCGGCGCCTTCTTCTTGGCTGAAACGAAAATAAGTGCGATTAGATTACGTGCGACAATAATACAGATTCATATTGGCAAATGATGTAGAAATACTGCAGCGCAAAGGTCATCACCGTTCATCGCAAGACATGAAGATGACAGGACAATGAGAATGTTTGGGTTATAAGACAGCCTGATATGTGTTAACCCGCGCCCTGCTGGGGGGGGGGGGGTGTTTGAACACCCCCCCTGTGGTTTTTCGCGAATACACCTTATCATACATCAATTCTACACATGTTGTGAAAATTTCAGACCAAGGTCATTCAAGGTCAGGTCACCAGGTCACTCGAAGTGACCTCACCTCATAAAAAGTTTCAATGTCTGTCATAGCTACACCGAGTGACCGATCGCTTTGAAACTTTCAGCGATTGCTAAGAGCTTTAGCATGTACAAAATGTATATCTCAGAATTTTGATATCGATGACCTAAGGTCAGGTCAATTTTGCGACCTCACCATTATAAGTCAATGGGAGAAAATTGAAATGCGCCTGTTTTGGACGAAAGACATTATAAACACTCCCAAACACTGAATTACAAGTGGTTTAGACACACTGAACATGAAAATGGTGTCTGTGACCCCTGTTTATGCCCTGAGGTCATCTTAGGTCACGAATGGTATCTAACAGTTTTTCGCAAATAACTTTTGATAGAGGCATGCTAGAGCGATGAAAACGCCTTAGATGTGTTAAGCTCGACGATACGGATCGACTGATATGCAACATGACCCTTTCCGGTCAGGTCATGACCTTGACCTGAGGTCAAATTTTTAAGTTGACCTTTCAAGGTCAAATTATAGTTCGTTCGATGCGTCTTGACGAGAGGAACACGATGCCGGTAAAAGTAAGCTCGTACAATGCTTGGGTCAAAAGTTATTGCAGAAAAACTGTTTCCGAAAAAATCGGCTATTTTTGCAGTTTTTGCCCCCTGCAGGCAAAACCGTTGACGTTAGGTCAAATCTGAGAAAATTACTCAGAAAGGGCGTTAATAGGGCTATCGAATGCGCTTTTCCGCGGCGCTGTAGCTCTATTGGTTCCCGAGTTATGCGTTGGCTTCTTGGAAATTTTCGACATTCGACCTGGAAATCGGCGAAAATTTGCCTTCAATGACCTCTGGTGACCTGACCTTTGACCTGACCAAAAAATTGACCGAAGTGATTTCCTCATTATTTTTGACGCTCTTTCGAACGCCGCCTTCCGCGTATCGCTACGTGGCCCAGGAGCCGAGTTAGAAGGGGGGGTGTTCAAACACCCCCCCCCCCCCAGCAGGGCGTGGAAATCCAGGACCCCCAGCCGGGCGCGGGTTAAACATCGCACATCGGCGCTTATCACACAACTGAGAGAAAATGTCGCATATGACCTACACCACTGCCACTCCAACTGAGTGCCTCAACATCCCCTCCCTAGCCACCTACCCGTCTTACTAATTGCACAATGGAGACCCTATCCCCCTTTCTTGTAGTATACTCACGCGGCGCGGCGGCCCGGTTGGGAGCCGCCGGTCGACTGGTGGGGTCGGTACCGGGCGCCGGCCGCGGCGGACGGCTGCCACCCCCCGCCAGCACGGTCGGGGCCGGCATCGAGGCTGCCACTGCGGTGCCGTGCTTGGCCTGGGGAGAGAGGGGAGGCAGGGTTAGGTAGAGTGGGGAGGGGGTTGGTTTTGCTTGAGCAGGTGTGTCATCACTTCTTTATCGTATGTAGTATGAACTGTGGATGCCACAGAGTTTTGTACCAAGACTAATGGTACTACTAATGGTAAAACCTCGGCACGTGATACACATCGTCCTAACCTAACACAAAAGTAAAAACATGTTAAGTCATCCTCTTCAGTGCTTCCTTCATATTCACAAACGAAAAATTACGACACTCTGTCGCCCTTGGGACTTTGGGTCTGAACACACCCCACCACCGACATTCACTCATATCAACCTCACCACACCCCGACCAGCCTAGCCCGTCTCAACCCACCCGTCCGACCCACACCTCAGCCCAAACACACCCGATTCCCCCCCCCCCCCCCCCCTCCCTCCCCCCCGCCGACCGAACACCAAGTAAATAGTGTCTGTTTACGCTGCCTTCCCGCCCGACGGCCAGCCGTCAGACCGTCAGAATCGGCCGCGCAGTTTTCAGTTCAGACCGGGGCTGTTTCTCTAAACAGCACCTGCCAACCTGCGCTTAGTTGGCTCTCTGACAGCCTTTTTGTAACGCATTCCTTAGTTGGCGAAAATAACTGTCATGAGAAGCCTCATCCATCAGTTTGATTAACTTACTGACACTGTTAATCGGCAAATTGTTTAACCCTATTCCTGGCGGGGGGGGGGGGCCTCAGGAGCCCCCCGCCTGAGGTTTTTTGGTTATATCTCCCAAACGCTTTGAGCTAGGAAGCTCAAATTTTCTGACTTTTTCTAAAAGGCTTTTACGCAACATTTCTGAAAATTTTGAGTTGATCTGACCTCAGGTCAGGTCACCAGAGGCGGTTTGGTGACCCTACCTCAGAAAAGTTTGCAATCACGCCAGAGCTAGAGTTTTTGACCGATCAATTTCTTCTCTTCAGGCTTTAGTTAGGGTACCAGTATGTGCAATTTGTATATCTCAGAATTTTCATATCTGTGACCTGAGGTCAGGCCAGACTCGTGACCTTTACATTGCAAGCCTATGGGAAAATATTGAAACGCCTCCTGCTTCGTGTAAACGAGTCAAAACCACCCAGTTCTTTCAGTATTATGGAAGATTATCTCATCGGTGATGATCCTGGTGCCGCTAATTGACAGGGGCACCGGCAAAGGTCATCTGAGGTCATGTGACGTCATAAATCGTTTTTCTGTCAATAAATCACGACATGATGGTGCTAAAGACTTGTAAGTGGTACCAAACTGCTCGCCTGGTCAAGGCGCGTCGTTTGGTATGCAGCATGACCATACCCCACAACCTCATTGATGAATGACCTGACCTTGACCTCAGGTCAAATTTTAAATTGACCTGTGAAGGTCATCACATACTTATTTCGCATCGTCTCGGCGAGAGCAACAAAAAATGTATTGGTTTTATGTCTCTATGTTTCTTAGTTTAAAAGTTATATAGGTAACTAATTCCAAAACATTTTATCGTTGATGACCTCTGGAGACCTCAATATTGACCTGACCTGAAAATGTTTTTTGTAAAAGTTGTAGATCTTTAAACGACCTATCAAACGCCGTTCGCCGTTTGTCGCTGCGATGTGTAGTTTTTGAGATCTGAAGGGAGGGGCCGAATCGGCCCCCCCGCCAGTTTCTTGTCCCGGTGGAGCCCGCCAGGAATAGGGTTAAAGTGACCATCCCACCTTAACATTAGTTTTGAGTTGAGATAGCCAAAATCGTGTCCCTGGCTTGCACTTCCCGGTTTGAGCTTTCACAAGATCGAGAAATGCCTCAAATCGAAAATACCTTATTTCAAAGTTGCAGCACTTGGATTCAGAGCGGCTAATGCATTAGAATGCCCCCTCTGAATGTGTGACGTCGGCGCAGATCTAACGATTTTAAATCTTACTGAAACGTTTGGTAGCACGCGGTGGTATATGCTGCTTTGCGCGCAACAAGTGCCGCACTTTCAAATAAAGTCGCTGGGAACAGCGGAGATCCCAAAAAGTAAACACAAGTAAAAGTTTAATATCTTGAAAACCGGTGAATATTTTTCGATGGAATTTGGTAGATATTCGTTTTCGCTCTTTCTGAACCGAGCGACATCACTTCCATGCCAAATCATTAACTTCTTTGAAGGTGGGAGGGTCCCTTTAAGCGAATCCAATAACAATCCGCCTCCTCTCTAAATCAGCGTGTTATACAGTCCCCGTTTGACCTGTATTTGCTTCTCGCTCACACTCCTGTAGTCCAGCCTGGCAGACTAACCTGTTTCCTAGCGATGTTCCTGGGCGGCTTGGCCACCGTGTGCTCGTAGGCCACCTTGGTCTTCCTGCTGCTGGCCAGCGACTCCTTCCGCTTTCCCTCGATCATCGAGCGCAGCTTGTTGTACTTTTGCTCACGCTCCTCCGAACAGCGCTGGAGAAGGGGTTACGGGCAGGGGGTAAGTATCGCACTGGGGTCGTGTTTACATTCGGGTTAGGTCTTGGGGCCGCTGTGTTGTTATATAAACCGATGTTAAGCGGTTATTTTAATTTTTTTGTAATGTTACGGTTCGTGTACCTGACAGCGAGCTGTTGTCGAAGAACTTTTTCGAGGGTGAAAGACCGCAGAAAGACCATCCCACATGAGAACACAAAATCAATAAATGCGAGTACATCTTGCAAAGCATAACTCAGCCTCTTTGTAAAAGAAGAAAAAGTCAAAACATTATCATGCTAATAATCGTCCACCTCCGTATATTCAAACAACGACCAACACCCACTCAGTAAGTCAAATCGGCAATATCAGTCTCGGATTTAACATCGCTACCCTTTCATCCTCCCTCTATCCCACGAATCCCCTCCTGCACCCCCCCCCCCCACTCTTACCGCATACATCTCCCTCCAGGTCTCCATTTCCTCTCGTCTCTCGCACTTGAACTCCTTCTTGACCAGCGCCTCCCAGAGCACGTCCGTGTCCTCCAGCAGGTAGGGGTTGTAGTACTCGATGGTGCTCAGCTGGTTGGCTGTGCATTTCTCCAGTACCGTGCGCAGAATCTCGTACGGAACGCCGCCAGTCTGCTCCACGTCTGATGGGGAGAGAGGAGAAGGGGAGGGTGATTGTACGGTGCTGTTGCTTGCCACAAGGGGCATTAATTACGTTCGGTGATTCTGGACCAAAGGGCGACCAAATTCTGCACCAATACGATGACGTGACGGGGGATGAAGACAAAGGATATAATGAATGTAATACGGGTAAATGTTCATCAGTTTGAATATCATACACTGTTGCAATCCATCGCACAATGAACAGGTCAATCATTACCTAGATTCAATGTAATACGAACTAAGTTGGCAGCGCTGAGTGTGAAATCGAATAAAAGTTTCCCTATATGTATAGCAAACTTATCCCGAAGTCACCACTAACCAAAATTCCAGCAATGTTCACACCTTAACAGACACATCGGCCGCGCTGGTCTCACACCCTGCCTGCCCCCCCCCCCCCCTATTCACAGGGACACCCCAGGTGTCCCCGCCCACCTCCATTAGCCGGGCATCACCCCATTAACCCCATGTCACTCCCATTAACATTCCTGCGTCAAACCCAACGCAGCCAGCCAAACGGTAGCCAAATCTTAGCACCTTACCTCAACCGGGCGGACCCCGCGATAAAATTACCCATTACAGCAGCTTGTCGAGCCCTTCCCTTCCAAATGGCAGAAGGGGTTCGGTAGTTTGACGGAACCCACGGACCAGAGGTGGTACGACGCCACGCTTGGAAAACAGGGAGCCGGGCCCGGAGGAGGGGGGACGTGTTTCAGCGGGCGGAAAGACTTCAGTCTGTAGGAAGTGGCGGCAGCGGACGGACCGGCGTCTCGCCGCGGTGTTCGATGAGATTCTTGGGGTGATAAGAGTAGAAATGTGAGATTGTGGTGATGTTTAGTGAGCCTAACAGTGTTCGAGTGCGGTGCCGGTGCCGTCTGTTCGTTCAAAGGAAAGAAACAACGTAAGATGGTAATTGAAAGTTCGTGTGCCAGCATCTCCAACTATGAAATGGGAACGTAAAGAAATGAAGTGACTCTGCACCAACCGACGGATCAGCTGGGCTATAACTGTGTCTTCGCAGAAAAGGTAAGGAAGTGTCCACTGTCCATTCATTGAAGAGGCTAGGTTAGAAGTCTAGCGAGATATAGGGTACTTACTGTCGATGTTTTCCATGAGACACCGCAGGCAGATATCCAACAGTGTCGGCACACGAGACAGGCCGGTGGATCGCGCGCCCGAGTACACCTTCGTCCTGTGGGAGACAGGGGCCGGTCACAGGTCAGGCAGGGTCAGATGGCTGGAGCCTGAGGTCAGTGTAAGGGTGAGAAATCGGATGTAAGGGCAGTGGATCAGAAGAACTATCTTCTTCCTACCAAATCGAGTCATGCTCACATAAGATAGTTATTGGCACCAAAGAGTAAACAAATTTGATGTGTAACAAGAATCGAGACGGATTAATTAACACAATGAGAATGGTTTGAGCTTCTAATCTCACTAAACTGAGACGATATTAGAATACATCTAGCTCCATTCTCCTCCTAGACACAAACTCTCCCTCCCACCCACCGTTTGTTTTTGCCGGCCAGCACCGCCTTGAGCGCCTCATCCTCGTCCAGCGCCCGTTTGGCGGCCGGTCGGGCGGGGGCGGCGGCGGGGGCGGCGGGCCGCGGCAGCGGACGGTAGGTGGCCGAGATTTCCGGCAGCGCGTCCAGGACCTCCATGGCCGGCGGCGGTGGCGGCGGCCGCGGCAGGTCGGCCACGCGCTAAGGGAGCGACGGGGTGAATGGTTTATGGGAGACATACGACATCATGATACGACGCATTAGGCATTGAGACACGCGAAACGTCATTGAAAATAATCAAATAAACGTGACAACATATTTAGCGTAAACAATTAACGAACGCACAATAACGTAATTTAGAAACGACGTCCACTTACCGTGGGAATATATGTAGGTACTGCAGAGGCAGCAGAAGAAGATGAAGCGGCATGTGAGGACAAAGACGACTTGGATTTCTTTTTCTTCTTCTTTGGTGTTGCGTCTGAGCCTCCTGTTAAAAAGAAATTATTACAAACATGTTTGGCTGATTGCCTGCTTAGGTATTTGACCCAGTAGGGGAAACAACAGTACCCATACTTGCCGTGTAACGTGTTACATAGGTAAACGTCTGAGTCTTGCAAAAAAAGTTAAGAAATTGGGTGGATTTGATTCATCGTAATTTGCTTCAATGAGCTTAAGCAAGACAAAAATAAGCTACACATTCATGGGCAACGTAATCCACACAACATTACGAAATTACATATGACCAATGTACGCTGTTCTACCAATCAGATAAACAGGATCTATGCAAACTGACGTTACTTCGCAAATATATGATACACTGATACAGCCTACAACTCTCTTCACTTATTTTGCCTCACAAACTAACAAAACGCATAATATACCTCCACGCATTCTTACCTAGCGCGTCAGCGAACGATCCTCCCTGATCTGCATCGCTGTCGTTTCCTCCGGGCTGACACAAGAAGTCCACCTCGCGGAGTTTCACCGGCTTCTTATCCTCCTTCTTCTCCGACTTGCTGCTGCGCTTCTCGTGTTTGTCTCGCTTCGACTTGTGCTTGCTTCGCCGCGCCTCTCGCGAAGCATCCGTCTCGCTGTCGGCGTGTGAAGACTTTTTCGATGATGAAGAACTGTGACTGGCTTCAAGCGCGCCGTTGGAGCGAGATTTGTGATGTGATTTTGATGAGGACGCCTCATCACCACGTGATTTGTCTTTGGATGAGTGTTTCTCACTCGAAGAACGCTTCTCGGACGACGAGTGATGCTTCTCGCTAGGCGTGTACTGTTCGTCAGGCGACGCATGCTTGTCTCCTGACGAATGTCCACTCGACGAGCCGTGTTTTGAGCGGTGGTGATGACTGCTGTGGTGACTTTTCTCGCCCTCTGATCTGCCGTTGTGCCTGTGGTCGGATTTCTCCTCTTTCACCACTGCAAACAGCGGCTCTGAATGCCCGTTCTCTAACGGAGGCTCGTGTTTTCGGTGTTTGCTCTCCTTTCTGTGTTTGTCACTGCTGGAGTGTTTGTCTCGGCTACTGTGTGATTTGTGTTCCTCCTTTACCACCACACCATTCTTCTCCGCCTCACGCCTGGCTCGCTCTTCCCGTCTCCGGCGCTTCTCCTCGTCTTTAGCCCGCCTCTCGGCCTCCGCCTGTCGGGCCGCCTCTGCCGCTGCCTCCGCCTCTGCGTCCGCTCTCGCCTGCTCCTCCAGAGCGCGGGCCTCATCCACCTCCATCCTGTCGCTGGCCTCGCTGTCGGCCGGGGAGGCGCTCCTCTCGGCGCTGTGCTCCCGGCCGCGCTCCTCGCTGTGCTCCCGGCCGCGCTCCTCACTCCGTTCCCGGCTCCGCTCTCGGCTCCGCTCCCGGTCCCTGTTTCGGTGTCGCTCTTTATCGTGCCCCCTCTCCCCCGCGCGGCTCCGCTCGCGCTCTGCCCGTGCTGCCGCCTCTTTCTCAGCCTTGAGCCGCTTCAGGCGCTTTTCGTTCTCCTCGAAGATGTCTTTCCACTTGGCGACGAGTTTGCGGGAGGTCTCGCCGACAGGCCCGGGGTCGCGGCGGAAGGCGTTCACTGTTTTCCCGACGCCGGTCTGGGAGAGAACCTCCACCGTGATCGGCAGCTTCTGCAGCTTGCTGAAGCAGTGCAGGATCTGAAACGGCACGGCAGGACTTGATCTGAAGTTCGGACTATATTTATAAATGATTTCAGAGGCTCCATACACCAAGGCTTCTGATAAAAAGGAAAACTAATAACAATCTCAATCATACAGAACACTTTTAAAAGAACATTTCAACATGTAATTGGGCTTGAAGCATAAGTAGGTAGCAAAAAAATTTAACAGCATAGCATTAGTTTTAATATGCAGATCAAATTCTCACATCAAAATTGTGCAATAACTTTAAATTCAGGCATCAACACAATGATGCAAATAATGCCTCCTGAACAGAAAACATCACAGAAGTTTAGAGTGTCCAGAGATCCAGCTTACCTTTTCTTCATCATTGCTTCTCTCAACTTTCCTCTGGTAGTGCACTACCATATCAAGAAGAGAGGTGCTCATTGTTGTATTGTTGTGACTACAACTGGGAGTGATCTGTGAATACAACAAACAACACAAACAGTCAATAGGTAATTCCACAATAGGTACCTTTCATAATGGGCCCCTTGATGCAGTTAAAACTCAATATGGTCTTGGCTGTGAGTGGTGTCAGATAGCATACCCACATATTTCAATATTTATGTCAAGTGCATGACATCATTTTGCATGTAAGAAAACATGGAAAATAGGAAGAACACAGGTCAAAACAATAGTTTGTAATAAGAAGAAAATAGGTAATGGAATATCCAATCTAAAGTATGCTTTACCTGGACTGGATTCAAAATAACTTGATCATTAAGTCGATCAGCAAGATGCTAGACTTAAACCCTACTAGTCAAAATATTTTGAAGATTTATGACTTATGAAATTGATTCAGATTGTTCAACTGTAAAAAAGCTTTTGAAACAACAGTGGAAGCAGAATGGTGAAATTAAAGGGAAAAGTCAATAACAAGCACAAAAATTTTAAATATCATGTAGAAAAGTAATATCATTCAACAATCGGCGATGACTGCTAAGTAAGCCTGATCTGATTTTGCGAGTTGGTGGGTAGCTGGTAGGCAAACACAGGGCATCATCCATAGCGACCATTTAACAGAAAGGTTGTCAGGTTGGAAAAACAGAAATAAGCTAGAAAATTTACAAAAATGCTAATAATGCTTCAAAGCCTCTAAGTTCGTCAACTTATTCAAAATACGTGTCACATATGTCCGTGGATTGCCAGGAATCTTCATAGACCAAAACCGGCGTAACAGCTGAAATGATTCACAGAAGCGTCTATCTCTGGTACTGCAGGAAATTAGGACGCATCCATATACGCTACTGATAACTCGAACTTGGCAAGAACGACGGCATAATTATAAAAAATCAAAATACAAACGCATTTGCCATCCACAGAAATCTCATCAATCACTGTAACAATAAACCATGGTCCGAATATGTGCATGACTTGGGCTACGAACCTAGCGGCAGCGTTACGTATAATATTTTATGATTTGAATTTTCAAATTTTTGACATTTAATTATCTTTTGATACATATGAAAATTCATAAATTTGTTTTAATAGACTAGCATGAAGTTTTGAAAACAGTACTTTTCAAAATAATTTTAATTAAATACTATCAAACTCAAATGAGGCGTAAGCCGCGCAGCTGCGACAAGGACTCATTGTAAACATTCGCTTGGACACGGCAGTGACATATTGATTTGATATACGATACAAATCATTCCAATTCAAAAATATAATTGAATTGGATGAACTTTATCGCGAGGACTTTGATATCTTACAGTTGTGCACATTTTTTGGTAAGAAGACGAGGCAGTTTTGATGTTTATTTTTTATTCCTTGCAGTTACCGCAGTTACAACAGCAGCAACCAAGGGTGTTTTCTTAATTTTGAATATCTTGATGTGTAGTTTGTCTGTAGGGTAATCAGCTTAATATGCTAAATCGATGTTAAACTAATAATCATATTGAAAATTGTGTTATACAGTTATGTCACTCAATTCAGGGTAAAATATTACACTACTAACAGCATTGCAGCATTGTCTTGAAACTGAGTACCTAACAGACCGTAGTCATCTATTGAGACGCCTGCTATATGATTGATGCTATACGGTATGATTGATATGATATATGATTGCTGGTTTTTATATGTAAGTGTGATAATTATTTGCTGTGTAGTGTGTACACATCTTTTTCAGCAATGGAAGCAGGGGCTGGTGGTGGAGAATCTTTCTTTGATGAATATCAAGCAATATCAAATAAACTAAAAAAGTAAGTACCCACCTCTACAAGCTAAATGTTGTCTTACTGGGCTTATGTCATTCATATTTCAGACTTTGGTTGATGAATGTATTCCTTCTAGATCATATTGTCTGAAAACACAAACACTTTCAAGAACCGGCTAGACATAGCTCAGGACCACAGTTACGGCGCTATCCTCTCTCTTTAACATCCACAGTACCTAAGTTACCCAGTCTGGCCCAGTTTAATGCTTGAAGTGAGCACCAAATAGACCCTGTCTACTATAGCTCACTTAATTAAGCTTAAAGTTAAACTTAAACTTCTGCCTTTGTTCTCCTAATGTCATTATAATGTGTTACAGGGGTTTTAGGGAAAATGATTTTTAGTAGGCAAGTAAATCCTACTGCTTGCACACAAATTCAAATTAAAACCTAAAAGGTATGTTTAAGATTGTGACTGTTAGAGATTAGAGAATGTAAAATGTGCTTAAGCAGCTTAACTGTTCTTATTGATGCTTAAACTGTTAAGGTGCATATAAACTGTTTATTTTCAGTTCAGACTGCACAACTTTGATCTCAACTCAACACTGTTTGTCATGGTAGGCTGGGTCGAATTTCCTATTTAACAGTGACCTTTGCCTTCATGTAAGCCAATATTAGTACGACATTGTAGCTGCCATTGAAACGGTGGCACGGACGTACTAAGGTACCCCGTAAGAGGATCTGCGGGAGCCAGCCTCTTCAGCTGGCAGCTGGCTCCCGCCGATACAGCCCGTGAATCAAGCTGATAGCGCAGCGGGAAGGCATGAACCGACAGCACTCGGCTGTGGTCTCTAATGGACATGACACAATGCTTAGCCGTATGAAAGCTCGTTCTGTAGTAACGAGTAGCTGCCATATATAAGACCACCTACCAGCGTCTGAACTCGGATTCAAAGTGAGCGCTGTGACGCGAAAATGTCGACCAGTAGGCAGCGCTGGCATCGCTCATACGCATGCGCCTAGATCTACTTCGGAACAGGGACTCCTGGAAGCAGGACGCGGGAGTTATCTTAGCTCATTATTGCTAGAAACAAGGCCCGCAAGGGAAATCTGCTTTCATCTGTAAAACAATCGGTCGTTACTGATAAGATATTGAATGACATATGACTCGCTAATGATGGTTATGAGGCGGGCTGGATGTAATGTGCGGCAGGACGGCGAGCTTTGTCAAATTTGAGCAACGTATCGTTGGAAGAAGACCGCTGGATCTCTCGCTAATGATTGTGGCGCGGCATTTTGAAGTCACTTATCTCCCACCGGAAAAGGATTTGTAACTTCCGAGACGTTTCCGGCGACTGGGGTGTGATTTAGTCGCTATCGCTATCGAGCTCCTCTATGAGGGCAATTAAGTCGGTACGGGAAGGGGGATTTTTAACGACAGGGGATTTGTGCATAGTTTGGATCAGCCTATTCTGTCCTTTGTCTAGCGGAGTTCGCTTTGCTTTGTTCAGACGCTTTTCGATCTACGACGTCGATTCCATTTCAGGGTCGTGGTGCGAGAGAATAAGGGTAACACATTTGGCTATGTATGTCGACCATCAATTGGTGCGCCTCAGGCCGCGGCTGCTGAGCTCAACCCGTCGTGACTGATCAGTGATCACCCAGCCACTTGAACAGTCACATTGGGCTGGTGTGCTCCTTCTGGAGCTGTCCTCCACCGGTTGTGTGATACTGGGGGAGACGACGACTGTCACTCCTGATCGAGACAGTGTGATCCAGGATGAGTACTTGGTTGTCCTGTGAATAGATGGACGAATGGCCAGGCTATCCTCAATTATAATGTCATCGAGAGCCGGTGCGGGTGGAATCTGGCATCTCATCAGCTGCCTCCTGGTGGTCAGGTAACGAACCAAAGCCTCTAAATGGCCACCAGGCGTCACGAAATCTTGCAGTGCGTGCCGTGAAGCGTGAACGTGACAACGTGACTGGAGGAAAAAGCTGTGACGGATTAACCTGTTCTGGGTTGCTGTGTCAGGCGATGGTGGTATAGTGGTGAGCATAGCTGCCTTCCAAGCAGTTGACCCGGGTTCGATTCCCGGCCATCGCAGGTCATCGTTTTGACCTGTCAAATTATAGCAAGATAAGTTGAAACAATATTCTAATTCTTGTAGTTGGTAAAAGTGCTCGCCTGTGCCACGCTAGTTATCCTCTCTACCTTCAGCACTCTCAACTCAAGACATTTTTTCCTACTCAAATCACTATTAGGGCGGCTGGAAGTCACTCTAGCTTGACATCGACAGGGGGGGGACCTGAATTGGGACTAACCTGAATTGGAGTCACCCACTGCGCGGTGATGTGACCGTTTGTATGGCTGGGTGGCCTGTCTCAATTCCCAACGAGATATCCCCTACTCGACGAGCTGGGCTCAGCCACTGCGGCGAACCAGCGAGTGGTGAACTATTGATCAATGTTTTACCCATATGTCTCATGTCAGCTCAGGTTCATCCCCGAAAATCGATTTATTAGATCCGATGGGCCAGGGGTGTCGATTTTTCAAAATGGTTGGGGGTGCTCAACCGCTGCACCGGGTGACAGATTGCAGCTTTGCCATGCGGCACAACCGTACAAGGCGGGGTTGGTTATCCCCATAAGGTACTGATAATGCCGGGATTTCTATATACTAACATTTCCCAAGGGCAGAACGTTCTTCTTGAAAATCATTCTGCTCGTCCTAGTACTTGGCTACCTGATTACATAAACATCTTTCCGAAAAAAAAAATATTTGCCGGCAGCATGGCAGCAGCCCCGACACCTCTGTAATAAGGTGACAGAAACCAATGACGGTGATTAGCACCGGTGCAGCAGCCGCTGCGGTCCGCAGGGGCGGAAAAATATTTGCCGGCAGCATGGCAGCAGCCCCGACACCTCTGTAATAAGGTGACAGAAACCAATGACGGTGATTAGCACCGGTGCAGCAGCCGCTGCGGTCCGCAGGGGCGGACATTGCGCGGAGGCAACGGTAGCTACGAGGCTCTGGCGGTAATCAGACGATCCCAATATCGATGAAAAATGACAGGTGATCGCATTTGGATATTTACGGGTTTACGATTTTCCCCAGTGGCGTAGCCAGGTGGGCCGTGAAGCACGTGCCCCCCCCCCCCCCCATCAGGTTCGGGCCTCAGGGTCCCCTCGGGTTATTCGGGCCTGAGGGGCCCTGAGGCGCCAATTGGCCGCTAAGGGTCAATGCTGGCCATATTTGGACATAGAAGGGATCCACGGGGCTCGTAAAAACCCCTCATGGGCCCACAAGTACCAACACTAAGATCTCCACAAGGGCCCCAAGCCAGTCTCTGAGGGCCACTTGGCGGCCTCTGAGGGCCCCTTACCGGCTTCGGAGGACCACATGTCGGACTATGGGGGTCTTAACCGGCCTATTCCCAGCCAGCAAATTTGGTCCTGGCCGTAGCTGGTCTTACTCTGGCTAGCTCCAGCATTTGCTCCGGCTAAAGTACGGGCAAGGTCTGGGGCTCTACTGGAGCTGACACACGATACCGGAGCTCGCCCGCATCACAGCCGGACTTATGCCGCATCAGCCGTGCCGTACCTCCACCGTACTTCAGCAACAGTAGGCCAGAGCAGCTATGAGGTGCAGCCGGACCTGGTCGTAGGGAGCCGGACTTGAGCCATGGCAGGGAGTCTGACTTGAGCCAGACTTGGCGGTTCGGAACCATAACAACCCGGGAGCGCTACGGCATATACTGGCTAGCCGGAATAGAGCCGTATCGACCCAAACCCCGGATCTGACGGCGATACCCTCGTCAGTTACCAGCGACCCTGACGGTCCCACACAGGTGACTCGGAGGGTCACAGCGGCGTCTGAGAGCACCATGTCCGGTCTCTGAGAACCCCACAAGGCTCCTGAAGGCACCGGTGACCTCTTGATGTCTTCTTGTCGGCCTATGAAGGGTCCGTTCCGTAACAGCAGTTCTGAGGGCCACACGCGCGCCTGTGATGGCCCTAAACCAGTGTCTCTGAGAGCACCCACAACGGCGCCTGTGAGGGCCATCACCGGCAACTGTGGAGCACCTACACCGGCGCCTCCGAGGGCCATACATTGCCATATCTGAGGGCCCCGCACTAGTGCCTCTTAAGGCCCCATATCGGCGGCTCTGAGGGCCCAACACCGTCGCTTCTGAAGGCCCCACAAGCAGGGATGCGGAGCCGGAGCCGGAGCTGGAGCCGGAGCCGCCGGAGCCGGTATATTTTGCCCGGAGCCGGAGCCGGAGCCGGAGCCGTGAAACAACACAGCCCGGAGCCGGAGCCGTCAAAAAAGGGGCGACTCCGGCTCCGAGGAAAAAAAATATTGACCTAACTCGGTTTGACAGTACAAAGCAGTAAAACATGTGGTATTCCAAATATCCCTGTTATGCAAATACAGAAACAACGTGTGCCAATCCAATCGCCTTTTTTCTTCCACCCGTATTTAATTAATCGCATAGGGAATGTACTGAGTAGAAGCCGGAGCCGGAGCCGCCGGAACCGGACCATTTTACTCGGAGCCGGAGCCGGAGCCGGAGCCGTATTGACTATTGACATTTCACCCGGAGCCGGAGCCGGAGCTGGAGCGATTTTTTCTCCGGAGCCGGAGCCGGAGCCGTCTGAAATTTCCACGGCTCCGCATCCCTGCCCACAAGTGCACAGGCACATATGACGGCCACCCACCGGTGACATTTGAAGGCCCCACACCGGCGACTCTGAGGGCCCCATCGGCGTCTGAGTCCGTGCCGGTCTCTAAAGACGACCCCACAGGGTTTCTGAAGGTACCACCGGCATCTGATGGCCCTTTGCCGGCCTCTGAGGGCCCGTCGCCGATATCTGGAGCCCCCTGCCGGCTTGTAAAGGGTACGCGTTATCAGCTCTAAGGGTCAAACACTCGTGTACGACGGACCCACACCAGTGTCTCTGCAGTCTGCAACTTAACGTCTTTTTTCGCCCTTCTTCTTAAGACTAACTTTTCTTTTCTTTACATTTTTATTTCATGCATTGTAA